GCTGCCTGCCTCATAAACACAAGGTCCTGAGTTCGATCCCCAGTACCAAAAAAAAAAAAAAAAGAATTAAACGGCAGAAATCCAAAAGCCTTTGGACTGAGAGTAGCAAAGGAGGAGGCCTCCAGGTCTACATCTTACACTGAGAGCACCCTAGCTATATTCTTCATACACCCTAGCTAGTTCTCAGGGGCCCGCAAAGAGAGAGAGTATGTGAGGGTTGAAGGCTCTGGGCTCAGCTCTGGCTCCTTGGTGATCTCCAATTGGTTGCTGCTGTCGCTCCCTTCACTGCCTAGAAGGGTATAGGCAGCTGGGATGGGGTAGACACTGAACTGTATGATTTGTAAGCTCAGTTTCCTGCTGTGTGTTATCTTTGTACTCATTTCCCTTAAGAAAATTGTAACCCTTTAACCAAGCCCTACTTGTGTGTCTCATCCTACTCTCAGGTTATGTGACATAAAGAAAAGAATCTGGCACCATGTTTGGTACAGGATCAGTCTGTCTCCACACACCCTACTCTGGGGCAATTGAGTAGTGGCAGCAGAGGCAAGCAGAGACTCAGAGGAGAAGGTGCCTTTCTTGGGCAACAGCCCCGAGGAAAGGCCCCATTGATTACTGGCCTTAGAAGACCTGCAGCTGTTTCAGCATCCAGCACAAGCATAAAACTTGCTATCACTCTGTGGTTGTTCCAGGAAATTTCTGGTGAAGCTGCCACAATGGACTAAAATAGCCATCAACAGACTTTAGGATCTCATGGATGAGTACAATTTTGAAACAAATTTGGAGGACTAAAATAAAGTTGCCAGCTTTTTATTTAGACAGGGTTGTCCATTAATCATGAATGTCACTGTGACTGGATTAAGAAATGTCTATGGATTGGTAAAGCACACTTCTGGGTGTGTCTGGGGTTATGGAGGCCTGACTTTGGGTACTATATCAGGTCCTCGGCCCCTTTCTCTCTGGTGCTGTTCCCCTGTTCTGTTCTGTTTCTCAGCTGCCATGAACTAAGCACCTTTGCTCTACCATCTGACATGATGGTCCTGCCTAGAGCCTATCACTCATGAACTGAATCCTCCGAATCTGTAGACCAAATCAAACCTCTCCTCCATTAAGTAGTGGGTGTCAGGTATTGTATCCCATTGCTGGGGAAGCCAATACAGTAGGTTAAAATATACACACAAACATACGGGTACTATTCATTACCAGTGCAGTTGCATGAAAGAAAAGACATTTCAATGTCAAAAAAAGAAATATTTGAATAAGTTTAACTTCATGGAAATATCCCCACATTGTTTGTTATCACAACCATGAAGTTTGTCGAAGACCAGCACCAAGCTAAAGGAGAGCCACTGAACTCACTAAGTCCTGCTCCCCCACCTGAGAACTCCAGGACTCTTTCAACCAATTTAGGGTGGAAAAAAAGGCCCATCTAACCTATCTGGGAACTTCGAATCCACATTGTCTGGACAGTGTGTACCCACAATGATGCCACTCAGTTACGTGTGCAGGGTGTGCCCATACCCTGGCCCCCCACACTAAGGTTTTCAAACAATGCTGGTGACATGTGTGGCTGAGGGCTCCATGCCCGCCATCCCATCCACTTTCACCCCAACCTGGTAGCTCCACTGTGTCTAATTTATAGAGATATAAGTAACTCAGACGTCCAAATGCTGTTTTGTTTTAACAGAATCATTACTATTAAAAGAAAAAAATTAAAATAT